ATATTATTTATTATAAACATAAGTGAAACCGAAAAACTTCTCAAAACTTTTTACAAAAGTACCGTACCTACTTCAAAACATTTTTTACAATAACATTTTAGGAGTTGTAAAAGTATTTTTATGGTATTCCTTGCTCGTGAGCCGCCGACTCGTGCAAACTTGGAAGTACAAAAAAGGATTTCTTTAACTGTTGGCTTTTATGAAAAGTTTTCGAGTCTAATGAACTCTGACTGGCTTGGTTTAACCGATAGAAATAGATTAAAATTGTATGGACTGTAACTATGCATAATTTTGTCTAATACCTTTTTTATGGAATAGGAGGTAAAGCAGACGGTTCGGACATCAATTGTTATGATCAGCACCGCTCGTGGACACCTACAACACCAGAGGAGTTACGAGTGCATTGCCGGCATTTAAGAAGGACTCATAAAAAATGAATTTACACACAAATAACGACGGTGGGCTTTACACCACATAATTCAAAATCAGAGATCATTGAAATTAAGACTATTGGTTCACTGCCGAGTTAAAGCCTCTTCACACTTGTTTAAAGTGTTTTTCTTCATCGTTACTCAGTTTATACTTGCCAGGTTTCATACCCATGCATGAGTGGGATTGGGCTTGGTCTGGTGTGACCAGGCCGAGCCTCTCATCCTGAGCTGCTGTTACCTTATTTTGCTGTGCCCTACAGGGTCCATAATTAATCTCACACACGCAATAAAGATATTGAGTATTAAGAATTGACCTGGAGTACCACGTAATTCTCAGTCTCTTAATAGATTTACAAAATTAATTTCGCAAGTGACTTAAGTTCCTAATCATTTATAAGTACATCCGTCGTGTCTTATTTTCTTCTCTTTAATTCAGGAAGAATAAAGAACCATAGTAATTTGCGTCACTTATTGTATACGACATTAATGTCGCAATAAAAAAAAATATTTGCATAGAAAACGTCTTTTACGACGTTGCTCTAATTTTATTTATTTCGTAAATTATCGAGTCAACTTCTACAAATTGGTGCCCATAAAGATTCGAGTTTCAGGGTTAACGAAGCGCGGATTTTCTTTTTACAAATTTACTACTTTTTGAAGAAATATCATTAAGAAGGTAGTAAGGAGTGATTTTGGGAAGGCAATGAAGGGCAGTTAATTTTTACTGAGCACTTCAAACTCCCGTTTGTAATCATTACAATAATTTATTTAAACAACCACAAGCGACCATTATTCACATTACTTTCATCTATACTAATATTATAAAGAGGTGAAATTTGTAAGTTTGTATGTTTGTATGTAATTGGGCTGTTCGGATTTCTACAATGTTTCTGAGTGCTATAGGCTATAAAATATCACGCTACGATTAAATGGAGCCGAGCAGCGCGGCAGCGGGTGAAACAGCGCGAGAGTAGCTAGTAATAAATATTTTTGTGGATAATGCTGGATAATGATTAAAAACAAAAGGTATCTCAATCTGTGCTTTTACATTCTTTATATTTAAAACTTAATTAGGTATATGATTGACATCGCACCACACCAGCCGGGGCTGCGGGTCCACAAGCGCAATTATGCGAAGCCTGAAGCAGAAGAAGGAACGAGGTGGTTTTAAGTCAGTACGAGTCTGACACACACACACACACACACACACACACACACTCTCACACTCTCTCTCTCTCCTCTCTCTACCCACTCAGAGCGGAAGAATTCATTTGATAATTATTCGCCCTTACCGCATATTTATAAATTATTTAGAATTAAATATTGAATTACCAATAATTCAGTATTTTATGATAATCAGAAAACCTACTAAACTAGATTTCCATTGTTATGTAACTGTGGACTGTTTTCTTTTATCATTCATCTGAAAACTGACGTCACAATAATATTATGGTATGACGCACGTAGCATTGTGTATAGCCAGTCAGTTACAAGGTAAACCTTTAGAAAAGGCAGTGACCAAAGGGATAATGGTCAATAACTTAGCCGTTAAACTTTAAGGACCGCTATCGTATAATAATGTTTTCTAAACATTACATCATTTCTCACACGTGTACTCAGAATATTTTTTATGGAATAGGAGGCAAACGAGTAAACGGGACACCTGATGTTTAATGATCAACGTAACCCTGCAACACCAGAGGAGCCGCAGACGCGTTGCCAGCCTCGTTTTTTGAAGGTTTGAAGGTCGTATCGGTTCGGAAATGCCGTCCCCAAAAGATCAGTCCAAAGTTTTGCAGTGCGGGGCAGACAGTTTTGCAAAATTCGCACAGTTGTTGACTGCCAACCATCTACATGTATAATGGAGTTGATAATGTTTTCGCGTGGGTCAATGGCGAACAGATGCGGCGGGTATCAAACTGACCAATTCATCGGAACACTCCCCGTGGCATAGGCACTGCATCTCGCTATGTGTTCTATACACATAGCGAGATGCAGTGCCAAAGAGTTACACAACATATTACAATTTTGTTCTTGTAGGGTAGTAGGAGCCTGTCGCGCTTCCAAGTGTTATCAGACCACCACAGATGAGGCCACTTGGACCGATTTCCAGGCTGTGACGACTGTTCTTTGACTGACGCCTAGTTCTTTTTAAGCCATTCAAGGTCTGACACTCTCGCCTTACATAGGACCGGAGATGTCATTTAATGATTTTCCACGCCCAAATAAAAATGGTTCCATAAAAATATGTGGACTCACTAGAGGATTTTCGTTTGTGTCGTGTCAATTTCAATTGTTTTAATTAATATATTAATTGATCATCATCAACCTTTGAGTAGAATGTCCGTTTATCGTCCAGCATTATCATTAGACACTGTCAGCAAGACAATGACATCGCCATGGCATGATAAATTACTTGATAACGGACAAACCCTCGTTATTACTGTGTCATAAACACGTATAATTATACAATAAGAAAGGTAATTTAGGAGTTGATGTATAAAATTGATTAACGTAAAATACCATAGGCGTTATATTTTACTAACATTTTTAGACAAAGTTCTATGGGCAGACAGCTTTTGATAGAGATTTTTCTCGCCCAGGGTAAGGCGAGAGTGAGTGTCAGATCGTTATTGACTAAAACCCCTGTTCCTTCTCCTGCTCCAGGTTAAGGCTGCGATGCCTTATCGCTTTTGTCCCATAATCCCGACTGAATATTGGCCCTATTGGGCCCCATTTGTTGTTGTGTGTATGTATGTCTTAAATTAGAACAAGTTTTAACGGTAGTATCACTGTAAAAATTACCCTATGCATTATTCCATTCATTAGTTTAGTATTTTTCTTAAAATACTATTATCAAGCTGTCGCGTTTATAATATTTGTAGAATGAGCCACATAACTTTATCCAGGATTTAAATGGAGGTGCCGGCAGGCCTTTTTTGTGGAGGAAATATCATCTAATGACTTCTTTCCAGGATATGGAGAGAAAAAGTGTCAGACATTTACTGACTAAAAACCCGCGTTCCTTCTTCTGCTCCAGGCCGAGGCCTCGGTACGTTATTGCGCTTCCGCTAAGGCCTTGTTTACGTTTAAGCGGCGCGCGTTGTGCGGTGCGATGTGCGGTTCCTTATACATTGCTCGTGATGTTCATATGTTTGTGTTTGCACGGCCGTTGACACGACTTGATGCTGTAATGTACGACAAACGAAATACGTGCCGCGCAACGCCCCGCACGTACGTAAACGAAACCTTAGGCCCCGAGTCTGTGTCTTTTTTTGTCCAATTCAAACATAATTATGGCGAGACAGTGCCAATGGAAGATGATGGTGTAAAAATCAAAATTATTAATCAAGTATATTGTCATAAACTTCCAAATTATAAACATTTTATTCTCTAGTTAAGTATATATTTAAAAGGATAATTGGAATGTCTTGTTTTAGTATGTAATCTTAAATATTCGTATTCACAGAATTTTACTAAAAAAAATTAGAAATATTTATAATCATAATTATTTCGGACGAATAGCCAAAAATACTTGAGATGTTATTAATATACCCACCTAATTTTCACCTAAATTTCATTAAGTACCAACAAAAATGAAAATGTAACTATATGATCATACTAAACAACTACTACAAGTAAATAACCTAACTTAAAGTAAAATAAATTACAAAGTTTAAATTTAAAAATGTGAATTAAATTAAAAAAAACAAAATTAAATTTGAATATCGAAGTTGTAAATAAAGGGGTGCTTACATAAGAAAGTGACATCGGAACTGTCGGTTGACCCGATTACCGCGAGTTCGTTGATCGCGAGTGGGCGTGTCGCTTCGTTCATATTGACTAACACACTGCAAGGTACATATCACAGGTCTGTTGTAGTGATGTAACGGACCTAGGACCTGACCGGGTGAAGGTTTGTGTACCTTGTTCGTTAGATCGACGCGAAAAGAATGCGTATACTTATTTTAAAAAACGCAAACTATTATGGCGTATTACTATAAAGTGAAGTAAAAAGGATTAAGCAGAAATCAATTTAAAAAAATAATAAATAAAATATTTATGTGTCGTGTTAATTTGCAAGATATAATAGTTGTTTTAATTAATGTAAAGGCCCGATGCAATACAAAAGAATAAAATATTAAAATAAATTATAAATTCACTTTAAAAACTCAAATAATAAAGAAAATTGTACTCTAAACAATACTTTATAAATATTTAAAACAAAAAAGAACTCCAATCCGGAATTACATTTCCTAAACGCCAGCTACGCAGTATCTATAAAAAGACCGACCGACCGTATGCACCTACAACGTAGGTACTTTCCTGCTTCGCGTAGGTCAGGTATGAAACGTAACACCCTAATGTCATCACTGCCCATTCACCTTTATTTACATTGAAAATAACATTACAAAAATATCCAATGATAACTACACAAAATTGCATGTACGTAGGTGCACTACCTAACTAAACAAAAACGTCCTTGTCAATCGCCAGACCATCCCAACATAGGCGTCTTTAAATAAACAAAATTGTATAAAAATTATGAAAATTAAAAAAAAGACTCACCAGTATAAAACTGCGTGTGATCACGATGCTTCCTTGTTTAAATGTAGAATGATGAATGGGTAGGAAGTGTGAGTATGCACGGAATGGCGGCGCGGGGTTGAAGTTAGAAAGACGTGCGGACGCCTGCGGACTCCGATCTCGACTGAAGGCTGAAGGGAGGTTGGGCGGAGCCACGGCCTGATCAAGCGAATATTTTATCGATACTTTTGCTTTAAGATAGGAAATGAGACAATTACTTTTGACTTCCAGCCCCGTGAGACTAAGTTCAACTATGCTATTAAAAGTTCAGGGAAATGCACCAGTTTTTATTGTGTTGCATCATGCTTTTTCGTGACTGATGTCATACTGCGTAATAGATTCGGTACGTCTGTTCTAGAATAACCTTATTTCGTTTATAGCTTCGTTTTTTATTTTAAGTTGTAAAATGCTATTTGAATTTAAAATTAATAGGAAATTCTCCACTGCCTTATTAAATTTTTTATCATTTTTATCCTTTAGATTTCTAAGATACAACTGTTATGTATAGAATATTTTACTTATTAATTTAATTTAATTTAATATTTTGCACTAAAATATGAATCCTTTCTAAACAATGTAAACATGTCGAAGCACGCTCGCCGGCCGGCGAAGTAGCGCGTCATAAAATCTGTAAAATTCACCCTTTTCTCATCAAAACGGAACATTACGTAATTTCGAACAAAACAATATCCATTGCTGCATTCGTACTATCAGGCAATCGAGAGCGCGACGAAAACGAAGCGATGAATAACTCAAAACGAAAGTCTCGTAGCCAGTGCTACGTCGTAGCACTTTCTACGCCGTAGAGGGCTCCAAGGTACAAAGCGAACACGACCGCTGTATTTCGTGATTACTCGTATAAAGGCATCTATTATAATACTTTCGAAGTTCGATAAAAAAGAAAATTGAAATTCCTTGTAAGATTGAATTCAATTTAAGGTTCAGCGATTCAACTGAGTTTCTTTTAAAAATATCTCTGTCGTGTCAAAAATAAGGAAACATATTTTGTGGAGTTTGTTAATTAGTCTTGTTTTATAATTAGGCTGGCGTACCACGAGTCGTCTGACATGACGGGGTTGGTTGTAGTGATAATTAGATGCTTAGACACTGCCTATGTAATGTCACAAAACTGTCTTATGTGATACATAACGGAATGTGTCTAAACTTATTGCACTTACTTGTATTATACGTGTTTAAGTGACGCTTAGAACTATTATGAGACCATGCAGATTTTTTAGTATTATACGCTATATTTACGCTTAAATTAAAATCGAACGTACCAAAAAACACCGTGACCAAAAATATGTTTTGATTTATTTTTATACAAAAACATATTTTAATTATAATAATATCGCAAAGCATTCAGCACTATTACTTGACAATAGCTATAACACAGATGAAACGTTACTCGAGACAAAATAAAATAACAAAATAATTTTAAATACAAAAATATTAATTGAAATATAAATATTTAAACTTACCTGCTCCTGCATATCGCATAAAGGTCACGAACGAATCACTACTATTACATTAAATGTCAAATCGCAACACACATACAATTGGAGTCACACTGCAAGATTGCATGAACGCAAACTGAAATAAGGAATGAAGCGCAGATAGCAGCTATCAAAACCTCTCCTCTTTTTCTTTGTTTATCAACAGTCTGCCCACAGATACCCCACGGACATTTTCCCCCTAGATAGAGACAAAACATACACCAAATAGCCCTGTCACTCTCCCTCGATGCGTCGATCGATGTGACCTTGGCAGTGGGGATATTTAAACCCTAATAGATGATATCCCGCAGGGAATATTTAGGGGTATTATGGAAATATTGTAATACCTTCTGTAATGTTTATAACAGTTTGAAAAATCGTAATGTTGATAAACATTTTGGTAGGCATGCAAACCTAATTTCGTTTGTGAGTTTACGATTATCGTTTCTGTCTCGATACTCGAGTCGTTTTCAAACTGCATTCGCTTTAAAGTAGCTATAAAATGGGTAAGGTGTGTCGTTTACAACGTAAGCAAGTTGAAATAGGTCGGTTATATGTAATGAAACTTTGCAATCATTGTGCAATTTTCTATCATAAAATCTGTATGACAATGTATGCATGTGTTTAAACCAGTTTATACTGGTGTATGTGCAATCAATTGCGCTGAATATTTATTAACTGTCTGTATCATAAACACACGAGCCATCAAACTAGACCTTGATACTGTGCAATTCATTGTCATGGAGAACTCTTAATGGACGTGAGACCAAATCATTATTCACAGCATGTAGTAATACAATTTTTATGCTGTGTACAAATTAATATTATATAATAATAATAATCATTGATCTATAATTATTATCATTAGTTATTGAAGTTTTGTTGTTGTGAATTCGCAAAAGCGACAAAGGTGAATAGGGAAAGTCAAATAAATAACATTATTGATTGCAAAGAGAGTCCTGATTGATATAATGTAGAAAATATTTCGGCTCAAATAATTTACTAAACCTATTTACTTCGATAATTTCCCCAAACGAAAACGTAGAGAAGAGTTATTGTTATCTAACTTGTCATGTTATTTTCACGAGCTATTGACCTGATTTCGAATCGGTTAAAGCGTGTGAACTTACAAAATGAACTAGAAGGTAACATAACAATACTGAAACTTCCAAGCAGTTGGCAACTAATAAAATCAACACCAGCACAGACTGTGCGTATTGAGTAAACACAATCGATCTGAAGAAGGAGCCCAGTATACATATATACAGCTACGTATATAACATAAAATACAGACAAGCAGTAGATCAACGCAATTGATATCTTTGCTAGGTACATATAGCCTAAAAATGCTGAAACTTTGCACTTAAGTTTATTTTGCTAAAATGCATTTTTGTCTGATCTATTACGTCAAACATATGTTATGACGGTACAAAACAACTACAAGAAGTCAGATGAAAGGAAACTTAGTGTGAGAAGAGGTCTTTGCTCAACAGTGGGCACTTATAGGCTGATGATGATGATGATGATGATGATGATCAGATCGATGGTGAGGCATCGTATTTTTTATGTTATCGGTTGGCAAACTAGCAGACGTATTACCTGATCTTAAGCAATCAGCGCCGCCCATGGACACCCGCAACGAAGGAGTTACGAGTGCGTTGCCGACCTTTTAAGGATTAGGGATTTGGAGATTTAGAGATTGGGGGAGGGGAAGGATTGGGCCCCCGGTAACCTCACTCACACGGCGAAACACAACGCTGTGGTTGTTTAACGACGGTTTTCTGCGAGGCCGTACTATCACTCCGGTCGAGCCGACCCATTCATGCCGAAGCATGGCTCTCCCACACTTGTCTCCCTTCGATTCAAGCGAAAGCGTGGCTCTTCTACAAGCAATACCCAGCATAGTCCTTCTGCATGTGTCTCTACCCAGTGGGCACACTTAGTTTCGTGTCTCCGTGAACTTGATGGAAATAGAAACGTTCGTGTGGCATACCTACTCAGTTCTTATTGCTGTGTGGATTTACGGTTTGTTGTGAATTTGATCGCGCTTGTGAGTCTTGTGACGCACGGAAGTAGTCACAATGTAGTTATTTATTTGTAAACAGTGGTCGCATGTTCTACGTAGGGAGTGCGGACTTGTGATGTTCGATGATAGAAGGATACATTAATGTGTTGAAAGATACTGTTTTAGGTTTGAACTATTTTATCATCCTAGTGTTTAATACATATAACTGGGACCTGGTTCGCAAGGATGTCCAACTATCTCTGTGTCAGTCATTTGTTTGGTTAGCTGCAGGCCGCTACGGCGTACTTTTCAAAAAAATACTTAGCAAACACCGCGTACGTTAACACAGTTATACAAACCGGTCCAGCCAATCCCGCGTAATGATCAAGAAAAATTGGGACTCATATATTTAGATGAACAATAGATACTATTGCAGTAAAAAATAATGTTTTCCTTCATAATAAATTAATTGCATGGAATATATTCCATGTTTAAATCATACGTCTTTTATCTCGCAAAGAATTAAAATAAAATTGAAGACTAATTTCAAGAGCCAATGTCTAACAGAGTCACATGCAATAAATAGTATATAAAATACAATTCAAAATTCAACCAGTCTACCGCGTACCTGTTTAAATATTACAGTTCTCTAACAAATCAAATACTGTATCGATATAGAAAGCGATAGATAATGTCACAAAAAATACAACAATTATAACATCCAATTTACTGTAACTGAATTAATGTGTGTGTACCACACAATGGAATCAATCATTCAATTGAAACCATTCCAACAAAGACATGATTTAACTTCGATTACCAAAGAGGGTATTACGACAGAAACGTCTTTACTCAACAAAGGGAAATGGGTTATTAAGTTTGTAGCCATATTTATACTCTCAATTGTTGACATCTCCGTTTTAGGCATCTCCGTTATCGACAAAAATGTTTCGTTGACATTGGAATAATAAAATTCATCATCACGGTTGGTTTTACCTTTCTAACCAGTGATATTTCTAGTTACACTTCAAGCTCATGGATGGATGGATGCCATTTTCTTGAACATAAAAGAGTAATAATTGCATTCAATAAATTTCAGACTCGTTTACGTGATACTGTACGCATTGTTTAGTTTAGACCGTGCAAGTCAATTATTGTTTTAATTATTTTTATCCGACAGGCAAAAATCTTTTATCTTGTAAAAGTGGCTTAAAGGGGCTTTCTTCACCACTTTCGTACAATTAGTCTGACACTCTCTCTAGCCTTAACCTGGTCAGGAAAAGTCATTTGATGACTTTCCCCTGACAACAAGGCGGATGATTTTTGTTAGTTTCATAATTATTATACAATACAATAAATATTATGCATTTTTATGTGAAAATCTATCTGCTAATACAAAGCGTGAAAATAGGTTCGAAGCTGTCAGCAAGAGCACAAAACTCGAAATAGCTTATAAATTAAACTCTAGTAGAAAACTTGCCCAACAAGATGGTATGTAGGTAGGTACCAATTTCAAAAAGATATAGATAGGTAGCGTAGTTCACCTAACTGGCGAAAGTGGTCTTATTTCCACTTGGCAGGAAAATAAATGTTTACACTACATTTCTACGAAAAACGAAAGATAAA